TAGAAAACGCAGTTAATAATGTAAATGATAAGAAGATCAGAGTTCGCATAGAATGATAATTAAGTTTATTAAAACGTTTATATACCCAAAGTTGTTTATTTTTATATTTGTTTTAAAAATTGTCTATTTATTTGTCTGACACGTTTTGATTTGCTGACCACTCGTTTCAATTCATTATTAGCATCATATCACAGTGATATTTATAACAAAAAACATAAACTTATGCAAGTTTTTATTGATATACAAATTGTATTTAATATACATTTTTTATAATACATACTTACATTATCAAATTCTTATTATGTAGATATATAAAAAATATATATTAAAATATAATTATATTATCATTCTGTAATAACAACATTTTAACAACAATAATCAATAAAAATGCACAGTAATATGTTATATAAATTTGGATAAAAAATTACACATCTTTTAAAACTGTTTTTTGAGTTTCATTCAACTTTTCCATAAATTTTAATAATAGTTATATATTTTATGTTAAAAAAGACAACATAAACATTTTTTAAAACATTGTCTGTTTCATTCAAAGTAAGTATTTATAATACTTTTGTATTGCTAATGTATTAATTATGTTTTAAATATTTTATATAGGTGTTATCCAGTGTTGTTTGTTTTTGTTTCAACGAAAAAAAATAAAATTTGACTTTTGTTTAGATGTGTTAGTATATTAGTTTTATTAAAAAATTATGAAAAAATACATTTTAAGTAAAAATTATATGTTATTTTGTTAAATAAATAATACAACAAATTAAAAAATAATAATAGCAGATCAATTTGATGATAATTTTAATGGTTTTAAAATCGAATACTAAAACAAACTTTATTGAACAGATAAAATAATAAGTGACAAAAATATTAAAATTAATTGATTAAAAAGGGTTTTGTCATTTTTATTTGTTTTTTATACATTTTTATAAAAGTTGTTTATAGATTATAAATTATATATAATTGTTGTTTTTTATTTTATATCACTTTAGTTCAATAAAACCATGATTTCTGAATCTATACAAAAAGAAAAGTTGCGTTTTATATGAGGATGGACATTTTTGACTCATTTTTAATGTGTACTTATTGTTTTTATAGCGACGAAGGCAGATATCAAATTGTTTATACCAAAACGAATAAATCAATAATAGCAAAACTTTCTCAATGTAAGATCAATTACATTTCAACAAATATAATTTTATTTATTTATTTATAGAAGAACAAAAACTCATATAAATGATAATATATATAATTGATTATAAAATAATAAAAATGAAAAAATAGAGATTATACATGAATAATAAAAATATTATTCGGAGTAAAATTGTTGTATATAACGAAATTGAAAATAAAAATATAATCAAAAGTAACGTATATTTTCAGATACCCAATAAGCAGATGGCTTAAATAAATTATTATCAAACTAAATGAGTCAATCAAAAAGTATTGTCTTAAAAGTTTAATTAAAAACAAAAACAAATTAGATCAAAATAATAATTGTATTAACATAATATATTACAAAATATAATTAATGAAAAAGTTGTTTATAATGTGTAATACACACGTTTCAATAATTTAAATAAAAACATAATTTATTTATTTAATTATAATTTTAATTTTTATTGGAGAAATTTATCAGTTAAAAATAATATTTTTTTTATAATTAAAATTTAAAATTAAAAAATTATCACAAAATATTTTATAAACTAGAATTCAAAAATCGATAGTGTATTTATTTTATTTTTTGGTAATATGTCGGGTTTTTTCTTACTATACTTTTATCCTCTTTTTTGGATCTAACAAAAATTTGAGGAAAAAGTGGCTTAAATTTACACATAAAAAATAAAAATACACCTTTTTTCAAACAAAAGTTGCTCAAATTTACAAAAGAAATAATCTTGAGTTGTTTCAAATAAAAAAATATCATAAATGCATTTCATTTAAACCCAATTCATGTTATTTTAGATTTGAAACAATTCAATTAAAAATTTGTCAAAAACAAACTATTTTAATGGGATAAAAAACATTTACATAAATAAACAATATTGACTTTTGTAAAACTTATTTTTTTAATTTCAACAAAAATCACATTGAAAACAAATTAATATTAATTAATTGCAATATTTAAACTTATAATCTTTAAAAATGATTACATGTCTGTTATCAATAAAACAGATAAGCTCATTGTTAATTTATTAAGAGAAGGGAAATCATTTTCTTTTATTACCAAAACACTTCATGTATCACCAAACAGAGTTTCTTATAACAAAAAAATGAAAACAATGAAGAGTTATTTTCAAAAACTATAGGCAGACCTTCAATTATGACACAACAAAAAATAATAACTTTGATCAAAAAACTTCTATA